GATCAGTGAAAATACTAATAATTATACATTTATCGTATTACGGACGGAAAACGCGCGTAGATTTAAGAATTTTGGGGTAATAAGGAGAGAGGCGACATTTGAGATCCGTGAAATTAAGCCTGGTGCTGAAATAGTAGAATGGATGGAGGNTGCATTTCGCGAAATTCACAGATACGCGACAAATTTATCGGAGCTGAATGATTACGTTGGGGTGTGGTTCGACTCCCCGACTTTGACCAACGGTACAGCGGGTCTTTCTTTTCGGCCTGCGCGTGACTTGACTCACGAGAATATTTGGTCTCTCGTGAGTTCGGTTGCGCAAAGTAACGAAGGGATAGACATTGCTACGTCGTTTACGATACGCGTATGCACCGTCCACTCTCCGTCGGGCAAAAAAGGCTGTCCTTTGGGCGCGGAAGGAATCGAGAAACGCTCGATTCTTTCAATAACGAATAACGACAACCTCTGTTTCCCTCGCTCACTCGTTGCCGCTCGAGTATACCTCGAACGAGGTAACACCCGCACGGGCGAGCTACATGAGCGATGGAATGCAATGAGACGTTCGAACCAAAGATGCCAGATTCGGAACACTTGATAGCATGCGGTAGCATGGAGAAGATGCGCACACAATCTCAGATCGTGTACGTGTGCGCTCGAGACTTCGAGCGCGTAGAAAGAGACAGAAAAATGATTTTCTGTCTCGCTCTCGCTTGAGCGAGTTGGCGATACGACGTTCAACTCTCAATAACGTCGTAAGCGGCATAAGAAATGTCCGAATTCTCCGGCTCGTTTTCTGACTTTTCTTTATTATAATTAAAAATTGTATTTATATGTATACATAAAATTTATATGTACGAAAAACTGCGTACAAATAAAACAACTTTACCACTCTTAGCCACTATGTACGTTTATTTTGTAAATAAATGTTTTTATAGACATGTATGTAAAAATATTCTGAAATACATGTAAATCTTCTTAGCAAAAATAAAAACCAAAAGTGAAATAACACAAAACACACTTTTTTATTTAGATTAATATTCCTATTATATTTATATTTACTAAATGATATATCTTATGTATCTATATTTTAAAAACACTTCATACAACGTACATATTGTTGCTCGATAAAAACCGCGAGGTGGTGGTTTCTTCTGTCATGAAGGAAAACTTTAACAATTGCACAGCCACACAAAAAAAAAATTTCTTTGGCCTGGGGATCAGACCATGTTTATTATATGTTTTTGGGGTCGCTGAATCCGAATCCGAGGTCCATTAAACCCCATCGGGTCGG